AGGTTGAGCTTTGTTTTTTGCAAGACTAGATTCATTCTTCTGTAGTTAAAATTGCAGTCGTAGAAGAAATAAAGATGTCGATGGTAGAATTAGGGCAATTACCCCCAATTTAAGTTTACCTTGTGTAAACCTTTTCTATCAGATAGAAGATTTAAAAAAAAAGAAGGCATGTGGATTTAGAAAAGGAAAGTAATTTAAAATTCAAAAATAATTAAATATTTTTTTTATAAAAATAATTCTATTAACAAAATCATGGGCATAAACGGATTTTCATCTAAATTAAAGTATAGTTCACCAAAAATCACAAATAAAAGCATAAATGGACAAACTGCAAAAAAAACATCCTTGATTTTTAATTTTCCCTTATATTTATTCAGTTTTATTAAAGTTTTAATATTCTAAAAGTAAGTATAGTTTTTAAAAATTGAAAACAAAGACGTAATTTTGACACTAAACCGGGAATTGGTCTCATTTGTTAACCGTCGCATCCACATTTTCTTTGAATATTCTTTCCCTCTGCCTTGTGGTTTTCGGAATCCCTTGGTCACACTCAAATCGTTTCGTCTTTTTTTTAGCAGAATTTGGGAATTTCGTCTTTAGGGTTAGACTTTTGGGACTGTGATCTCTTTGGTGAAGAAGCCATGAACTTCCGCAGCAGAAGGGTTCAATTTCTGCTCTTAGCCATCGGAATCGTCGCTCTCAGTATCACCGGTACTTTTCGCATCTTCCTTCCTTCTTCTTTCACCCTAATTTCGTACTGATTGAATCAATCCTGGGCTTTAGATTTTCTACTTTAGCTTAGTTGGAATTGTGTGGCCTTTTCAGTAACTTGTTCCTCCTGCTAAAGCCATGTCGAGATCTCGAGTTTATAATACTCAATCTCTGGAGACTTCAATTTCAAATCCAGAAATTTCTCTCTGTTTTTAAGGATGTACTACTCTTTCCTTGATCTGGGTTCTATAAAACAAAGGAAGTTGGAATTTCTGTTTGGCGTTTTGGGAAAATCTTTATCGGATCTACTACACTTTTTGAAAGAAAAAAAACAAAAATGAGACTTTAGATTATATTCGGTTTAACTTGATTTATGAATTTTCTAGTGTGAAGTGGTATTGTTTGATCTTCAAATTTCAAACTGCAATTTTCCTCATCTGGCTGCTTTAATCTCGGAACCAGTTAACAATACAATGCTATGGTATTGTTTGCCTTTAATTTTACTTAACTGTGTTGCTTGTGGATTGTTTGTGTCAAGTTGGTTATGTAATCTAGTGCTTGGGATGTCTGAAATATCTCTTATGTTTTCTTTTTCATATGTTAAACAGCTGAAAAATGTCGGGAACTTGTTGGACAAGAAGCTGCATCAAAGAGTGGACAGTTTACATTCTTGAACTGCTTTGATATGAGTTCAGGAACCGTAGCCTGTGCGGTGAAAGAAGGTGTAAAGCTGTACTTCTACAACATCAGATCTATTCACGTCGAGAAAGCCCGGAACATTGCAATCGAGAAAGCCTTGCACGAGGCATTGGTAAAAGGCATGGCTGCTAATGAAGCAGCCAGGGATGCTCAGAATGCGGGTGCAAAAGCGGCTAAACTCGCTACCCGGCAAGCGAAACGGATCATAGGACCCATAGTAGCTGCCGGATGGGATTTCTTTGAAGCGCTTTACTTTGGAGGGACGTTAACTGAAGGGTTCTTGCGTGGATCTGGAACTTTGGTTGGTGCTTATTCAGGAGGGTATGTGGGTGAGCAGAGATTCGGTAGATTCGGTTATCTTGTCGGGAGTCATATAGGGAATTGGATCGGCGCACGGGTTGGACTGATGGTTTATGATGTCGTCACCGGTGTAAACTTCTTCCTTGAGACTTATCAATCTGGAGAAAGCTCTGAAGGTCGGTCTACATATGAAACTTCTGAGGACCAGTCTACAGTTGAATCTTCGAATTACGAGCTCTAAAAGCTTTCTGGATTTACATTTATGGATTGACAATGACCTAAGAAGCTTCTGAAGCCAAGTCGAATGGAATTGGAAAGCTCTAGAGGATTCTGGGATGTTTGTTTGTGATACCTTTGACATAGTTGTATAGACTAAAAGAGTTTCAACATGATCAATTTGCTGATGTATGGAAT